AGATATATGTATTTCGGTTGAGTTCTCATGTAAAATTCAACCTGAGAGGAATTGATTTAATTCCTGTGTGCCTTCTTTTTACCAGGCTGAATACTTTCATTATCTGTTCAATAAAGTATATATCCAAGCTTTTTTTCTTTGGCTCTGTTTTTTTTTTCTGTTTTTTTTTTTTTTGAGAGAAATTAAAATGGAGGAAAATTGGCCAGCATTTTTTCACATGTCAGTTCTGGATTGTCTTCAGATATATGTATTTCGGTTGAGTTCTCATGTAAAATTCAACCTGAGAGGAATTGATTTAATTCCTGTGTGCCTTCTTTTTACCAGGCTGAATACTAAACAAACAGTGAAATAGTAGAGTCTGGCAGAAAAATTCATAAAGCTTTCTTTTTATACTTCAATTTTGAAGAATAACAGTATATCCTTGATAATTGTAATCTGACATATTGAAGTGTGGACTAAGACTAGTTTTTCCTTGTGAAATAAGATGTGTAATCGAAATATAAATGCAAACATCGTTTACTGATTGGTTGTAATGGCTTTATTGAAGAGAAAATAGTGTAGATACAATAAATTAATGATGACATCGTGATTTAAGAAGCAGAAACCCAGATTTCACGTATTAGCCACCTGCTCAAGCAAGTTTCTTCACCGTGTATGCAGATATTTAGCCAATTATGAATAGGTACTTGTTAGAAATGTTTTTATTTTCTTTTTACTTTTTTATTTTGCAGAATTTCAAATGTAGATACAGCTAGATTGGCTAGTATAACAAACCCCTATGCACCTATCACATAGCCCCGACGATTTTATCTACAGTCGGTCAGCAATGAACCTCATGTATAGTGATGGTCCTGTAATAATATAATGCTAGAGCTGAAAAATTCTTATTGCCTAGTGACGTCCTAGCTGTCATAATGTTGTAGCACAATGTAGCACTCACAGGTTTGTGGTGATGCTGGTATAAACAAACCTGCGGAGCTGCCGATCATATAAAAGTCTAGGACATACAATTATGTACAGTACCTGATAATGATAACAAATGACTGTGTTACTGGGTTATGTTTTTATTATGCTATACTTTTATTGTTAATTTAGAGTATACTACTTCTGCTTATAAAAACAGGTTAACTGTAGAACAGCCTCAGGCAGGTCCTTCAGGAGGTATTCCAGAAGAAGACATTGTTATCATAGGAGATGACAGCTCCATGCATGTTATTGTCCCTGAAGACCTTCCAGGGGGACAAGATGTGGAGGTGGAAGACAGTGATGTTGGTGATCCTGACCCTGTGTAGGCCTAGGCCGATGTGTGTGTTTGTGTTTTAATTTTTAACAAAAAAGTTTAAAAGGCAAAACAAATTTAAAAATGGAAAAAATCTTATAGAATAAGGAGAAAGAAAATATTTTTGTAAAGCTGTACAATGTGTTTGTTTTTTAAGCTGTGTTATCACAAAAGAGTCAACAAGTTTAAAAAATCAAAAAGCTTATAAAGTAAAAAAATTATGGCAAGCTAAGGTTAATTCAGTATTGAAGAAAGAAAAAAATTTTAAATACATTTTGGATAGCTTAGGTGTCCAGTGTTTATAAAGTCTACAGTAGTGTACAGTAATGTCCTAGGCCTTCACATTCACTCACCACTCATGGACTCACCCAGAGCAACTTCCAGTCTTAAAAGCTCCCTTCCTGGTAAGTTCCCTACACAGGTATAGCTGGCAAATAGCCTTGCAAGACATTTTTGACAAATATTTGACAAGGTGGCTGCATTGGTGGCCAAGAGTCACATGTCAGCATTATTTCCAGGATGCTTTTGGGGAGAAGGCTCATTAATTTTTAGGGTGTTTTGCCATTGGTCCTTAATAATCTGGCAAAGGAAAGTAAGTCTGCTTTAGGGTCCATTATAGTCCATTGTTTTAAGGTCAATTAGAAGATTTGTGATTGTCATGGAAAGTCTTTTGACTTTATCAATTTAGAACAAAGCTTAGAGCTTTGATTTGAACGGTTCGTTGTATTAGAATTGAGATTTTTGAATCGTGAAACTGTGTTGAAAGCTGAAAGCATAAAAAATTCAATCTCAATAAGGTCTAATGTTTCAAGTACAGCTGAGACTTTCAGTTACATGGCATGTGAAATGGAATGATTGCCTGATTGCAATTGATATTGGTAAATTTACAATGAATAAAGAAAGCTTCCTGGCTAAGCTGCTCAAAGAGCCAATAAGAGATCTTAAATTTCACCAAAAATCTTTCCTAAGATGTCTGTTTTATCACTGTGTAGTGGGATTAATGGTGTTAATTTTCTTCTTTTTGCTTGGTTTTCTACCATGGCTGTGTATTACTTTTCTACTGGAAATTTCTATTTGAAATTTGTCAAATTTGTTTGAAATTCATCTTTTGAGTTTTTAGTAAAATTTTGCAGATTTTTGGTAAAAATGAAGCAGGAATGAATTTGTATGATTTGCATCTGTCACGATACTGTGTTATTGCTTCTTTTGCCCTATTCTAATTTACATATTCTTTAAAAGTTGCTCATATGTTGCTTTTAGTCCTATGATTCATAGTTGCTTTGAGGAATAAATGTATTTGTGGTTATATAGTAGAGATTGCTGAATGAAAAAATGGCGATTCATTGGTATATAAATATAAAAGCTATTCTAGATAAGCAATTAATGCTTTATTAAACAATGGCTCTTGACAGGTTCTGTGGCCAAGAACTTCTTCACCAAATCAAAGCTTTCCATTCCAGAACTCTCTTATATATGGTAAGTACAATTAATTCAACATAATATCATACCATCATTCATACATACCCAGTGTTTAGCTCCTACCTTTGTATTTTTTAAAAGTCTTAACTTTTTTTTTTTTTTTGAGACAGAGTCTCACTGTGTTGCCTGGGCTAGAGTGCCGTGGCGTCATCCTAGCTCACAGCAACCTCAAACTCCTAGGCTCAAGCAATCCTCCTTCCTCAGCCTCCCGAGTAGCTGGGACTACAGGCATGCGCCACCATGCTCGGCTAATTTTTTCTATATATTTTTAGTTGTCCAATTAATTTCTTTCTAATTTTAGTAGAGACGGGGTCTCGCTCTTGCTCAGGCTGATTTCGAACTCCTGAGCTCAAACAATCCGCCCGCCTCGGCCTCCCAGAGTGCTAGGATTACAGGCGTGAGCCACCGCGCCCGGCCAAAAGTCTTAACTTTTGAGTGATTTTTTTTTTTTTGACAGACTTATAGTGAATAGAACTCAGATTCTCATTGCTGTGAAGTTATTATATGAAAAGCACAATGAACAGTGCCTGGCACATACTAAGCAGTATAAGCGTTAACTATTATTTTAAAAGTAATTTCCTAATTATCATCCCTGTCTCAATCCCTTTTCAGTCTAGGCAATTTGTGGACATATGAGACTTTCCATCTTGTAGATTTTATTTTCAGATTTTTCTACTCGATGTGCTACATGTAACCGGAGGACCTTGAAAAGCTATTCTTTATAATATTTTATAAGGCTGAGTGAACAGAAGGTCCAGGAATATTTTGGAATCAGGTCAAACTTGACTATTCTGTCTGCCCCTGAGCTTTGTAAATTTGGACGGTGTTTATCAGCGAGGCCTAATTCAGACTTGCAGCTGCGGCATGCACCGCACCTTGCCGTAGCTCTGGCTCCAGAAGGGCTGTGCTGGGATGGATGGTCCAGATGGCTGTTTGCGTTTGCAAAAATGCTTGGTGCTGCTGTAAACTCCCGGCTATGTATGAGCTAGTTAAGACTGGGCAGGAGATCATACTACTATAAATATATAACTAAAACATTGGCATATTCATATAAAGCTTTTTGCACGAGGATTTATAAAAATTATGATAGGATTAAAAATTGCTTGTCATGTTTTGTGCATCTTATTGGAGAAAACTATTCTGATAATCCTTGTGTGTGCCAGTGTATCTGGGATTCTGAGGTAGATTTAGGTTCTTCAACAATATATTCTGATATAACATTTGCCCCCCTCAACAGGCCTTATAGTAGATTTTAAAGCTAGGAAAAAAATAAATTATCATTTTGAAAAGAATACGGTCTGTTTTGGCAGAATTCCCAGTCTTAACATTATCGGCATGAGGTTTCCTATTTTTTTGTCAAGGCATATCCATGAAAGCTAAATGGTATTCTTTCCATCGGGCGTTGGAAGCAGTTCCCTGACTCCTCACCTTGGGAGAACAGCTATTTCAGGGCTGGTGCATTCTAAATTGGAGAGGGGGATATGAAAGGTCCAAAGGAAAGTTGTGCAGCTTACCTTAGAAGTGTTTTTTTCCAAATAGTTACACCTTTCTAGAACAATTTTGTATAAGTCTTATCTCTGTAATACTTGTCTCTGTACACCTAAGAGATGGTTGAGCTTATGGAGTGTTAGTTACTTAGTTCTTTTGTGCTCAGCAAATAGGTGTGTGCCTTTTAGTGGGAAATAGTGACTGAAACAAAGATAAGCCTTCTTAAGATTCTCCCTTTCATCCTGTTTGTCTTATCTGGTTCCAGTCTTCCTTATTTGCCAGTTTTATCTTAAAACATAGTTCAATCAATATTTATTGAGCTTACTTGTATTTTCCCGGGGGGAATTCTCAAGCAAAGAACAGTTTGATACAAAAATTTACATGACTTGAAAAGTTCAAGGTTTTCCTTTAAAGCTGAAAAACGAAGCATTTATTTCTGTGCTCTGAGTAGACTGCATAATAGTTGGGGCAACTGTAAAGTGGCTGGGGCCACCCTTTCTCTGCCTGTGTTAAGCATCAAGTCTGGGGCTTTCCACGCCATGCAGCCTGCATTTACTGAATGACTGTCAATTAACTGTGCAATTCCAGGCATCTCTTTTCTTTTTGTGCCACAGTTTCTTGTCCCGTGTCCTCAGTTTTGTAAAATAGACCAATCAGAGAACCCGAAGAATTTAAATTTTTGTTTACAAAATGCTACTGATGCCAATGCTGTCAATCAGCATTTTTCTTTCTCTGAGTAGCCCCCTGAAATTTCAAATGGATTTGGCCAGGATGCTCCAGGGCCATCACTAGAGAGCCTGGGAGTTGTGTTTGCATGTCTGGGCCGAGTAACCTTCCTCTAAGTCCCGCAGTAGGTACTCATGACATTTGTTTTGTTTAGGGAGCTTAGTGATGCTGACTGCGATGGAGCCCTGACTCTGCCTGAGTTCTGTGCTGCTTTTCATCTCATTGTGGCCCGGAAGAACGGCTACCCACTGCCTGAGGGCCTACCTCCAACTCTGCAGCCAGAGTACCTACAAGCAGGTAAGTCCTCATCATGAATGGGAAACCTTAGGCACTTTCCCTCGAGGCCTTACGAGAAACTTGTGTTTCTTAAAATGGTGTCCAGACACTTTGGGGAATCACTGATAGCTATAGTTATTTTTCTTTAACTGATATTAGACTTTCACGTCTCATAATATGAGTAATAGGGCTAATATGGGTAAGTGTGACTCATATGTTATTCTCATTCTAGTACCCTCTGGATGAATTTGAAACAAAGTCACTGACCCTTTTGTGACAGTTGTGAAATGGGCAAGTACTGAAGTTCCCAGCTGATATAAATGAAGAGGAAGATCTTGTAGAGCCAAGTGCTGGCTTAGCATCTTTAGGCACATCCCAGTGTCTCCAAGTGGCCTTGGGTGGTGAAATGGAATAGAACTCTTATACCTAATTAAAAAGTTAAAAACTACATGCAGCGAAATGTGCAAAGTGCTGTAACCTTAAATGTACAAAGTATTTTTATATGTGTATACACCCATGTAACTACAATCAGATAAAGACATAGAACATTCCAACACACTAGAAGGTTGGACTAGAACTCATTTTGTCTTTCACCTTAACAAAGCAGTCACCCTCAAACTACTGTTTTGAATTCTCTAGATAGGAAAGAGGCACGATGAGTACAACATTTGTATTAATTCCTTTGGAAGACTTTTAATATTGTCTCTTGCCCTTTTCAAAGGCAGTGGGCACTGGTCTGATTTCTATTATTTAGAGAAGTAAAGTGTTTATTGAAAGGGTCCAGAAACAACTGGTGCTTTCAACAACTTTCTCACTTTTTAGGGAAGGGCTCTTAAAGAAATGAGAGCTTAGTCATGGGTGATTATTGGCAAGAGAGAACAGTATCTACAGAAACAGTAATTACTTATTAATGGAGTATACATTTGTGATGGATCAGGAAAAGGCCTTAGATTAATCCCTTCCTCATGATGACACCAGACTCAAAGTAGCAAATGTCTTATCTAAGTCAGTCTTGGGGTTGCTGACTCTTTTAAATGAAAAGTCTATCATTTTCTGTGTTAGGTAGTGAGGGGGTAGGGGCTCAACCAAAAGGAAGATACCAAACTTGTGGCTGGTGCTAAGTGACCTATCTTGGGATCTTCTTCAAATGCCTTCATAAAATATCTGAAGGGAAGAGTTCAGAGAGCAAAACCTACTAATTTATGCACTTGGATTTTGCTAGTAATAGCTGCTTTGTGCCCACAGCTGTAACTCTAGCTTGCTGCCTTTCCTTAGAGGCTGGGGAAGACCCTCATGGAATTAGCTTGTAATTGAGCAGCATAGTAAACTGTTCTCTTCCTATTTGTGTGTGTCTCTCTCTCTCTTCTTCTCTCCCTCCTCCCTTCTCCCTCTCTCCTTTCTTTGTTTCTGTTTCTCTGGGAGTGAGGCAAAGAAGCACTGACATTCCAGGGGCTATCTTGGTGCCTGCATGGTTCTCATTACCAAGGTAGTGCAGAGTCATAGAGAAACTCCTTCTCCTAGGGGCCAGGGGCACATGGGGCTTTTGTCTCTCTCTAAAGGGGATTAACAGCTGGCCAAAGGGCCAAGGTCTGCTCTACGGCTATTTAGTTATATTTAATATCTTAACTGTATCCTCTTTTAAGCCCTGGAGAGAGTCCTGGGTAACCTCATCTCCCTTGCCCATACTTAGTTTTCCATTTAGGGGTCTTGGTTAATGCTGTTTTGTTGTTCAAATGCCACATGGCCCTGGAACCTATGGCACATGTTGTGACTTCTTGTTTGAGAAGTCACTTTGTAGGTGTCCAGGTGTTTCATGGACTGTTTCAAAAGTTACTGATAGAATTTTTAGAAATCTGAAAGCCCTGAGCTAAAAGTATGCTAACAGAAGAGAAATAACCCCTTGATTACTGTACAGCTGAAATGGTTTCTTTTGACTTGCTTATTCAGCAGAGAGGAGTCTATCAAAGAGTGCCAATCAAGAGGCAACTCCTTTCCCTTGGAATGGAGCCCCTCATTTCTTCCTGGTCTTTTATGGAGACTGTCTACATGCATTTATACAGAAACAACTGAAGAATCTGTCACATATACTTCAATTAAACAAAAATCGCACATCATTTCCAGGGCTTGTGGGATTAATCTTAAATAATAATTATGTAGTTCTAACAGAAAACATGAGAGACCTCATAAAACCCCATCAAACTCAGTGACAGTATATTTTAGCAAACCTTGAGGCTTTAGCAGTTTATTTTTAAATGCTTTATTACCCATGTTTATCTTTGTATGAAGCTCAAGAAAATGGTCAGAACCATCTGGATCTTATCTGTGATCTTAGACTCTTTGCAAAATATGAGTGGTCCTATTCATTTTTTTTGTTCATTTTTATGGTATCCCATTTAGATTTTCTAAAAAAGCTTAGCTGTTATTCTTGTTCCAACATTTTTCTAATTGATCTATATTCAGTTTTTTAAAAAATCTAATCCAGTTTTTGACAGGATTGGTGAAGAGTATAAATTTGGTTGATACGGTCATGTATTCAAAACTATACAAGCTTATTTTCAATAAAATAATGAAACAGGAATTGTATTTGATGCCATTTTACTTGTAATTACAGAAACAGTCCATTTTCCCTAATGCTACAAAATAAAGGGCAGAGATGGAAGGATAAGTTGGATTACTTACTTGGTGGCTTAGCCATGAGCCTTTTGATAGTTTCATGTCTAGGTAACTGGGTGAATTCTGGTAGAAATTTTGGCCATATAGTTTGTTAAAAAATATTTATTGAGTACTTATTGTACAATATGCACCATATTATTCTCTGTGATCAGAATGCTATATAAAACAGAGTTCCTACCCTGAAGCATGGCACTTGTGGGCAAGTAGAAGATAGACGTCATTGGAACCAGTGGTAGGTGCTATGAAAGGGAAGTATATTCACAACCAGAGGGTGCATGGCCTTAGGGAAAATTTAATTAAATGCTTAGGCTATGATGTGAAGGCTGGGCTAAGGGCTACTTAGGTAAAGAAGAGGGTAATGGGGGATGTGCTGGAGAGGTACTGAGAAGGGGCTTGGAGGCTGGAGGAATGGACTATCCAGGCCACAGTAGCTAGAGTGACAGAATGAAGCTGAAGAGGAAGGTGGGGAACAGATCATGGGCAATAACCTTGACCTGTTTTAGGTAGAGAAATGACACAATCAGATTTGCTATTTGAAATGACCATGCTGGTTGGTGTCCAGAGAATAGGTTTTGAAGGGTGGAAACCAGAAGACTAAGTTATGGTAGCAGTCCAATCTGCAGCAGTGGGGGTCTCATATTGAGGAGGTGATGGTGGAGATAGATGTGAAGACATTGTAGAGAGATTTAGCAGTTAATTGATGACATTTGTAGTTCTTGAAAGTGTCAGCTTTCTACCCAGCAAGACCCCCTCATGATAAGGCATGAGTCATATAATTCCAGTCAAAGCACTGATTGGTAGACTACAAAAAGAAATCTTACATTGGTTTAAACTGCTCTTGGGGCTGGTTTGAGGAATGGTGCTTTGAAAGGTATTTTGCTGAGTGTTTATCAAGGAAACAGACCACCAGGTATGGTCAGAAAAATGAAAAATCACCAGGGCCC